GGCCGCCCTGCGCACCCTGGAGGGGCAGAGGCGGTCCCGCCCCGAGCCCCGCGAAGATGGAGCCTGCGGCTGGTCCCAGCCCCGAGGGGAAGGCAAAGGGCCCGGCCCGTGGCCTTCGGCTCTGAAACCACCGGGTGAAGCTGGGTAAAACGCCCGCGGAGCCCGCCTGCAATCGTGCAAGAAAGTTTCTATTAATCCTAATCAGTTAACTTGTCGAGCCGTGATGGCAGCTCTACTTGAAAGAGCAGAGCAGGCTTCTAGCTTCTTTTGGCCAAACAGAAAAGATTTTGCCATTTTAGAAAGAGAGCACCCCAGCTAGTGCCATATTTATTTGTGGCCTTCTTATCAATGGCATCTTGGAGCCATCTTTGAACCCCATTCTGAGCCCTAAATTCAAAAGAGCCTAGATACTAGCTAGTTACACTGTAACTGTGATTAAAAAATAAATTTTAAAGTCAAACAGTAAAACCAAAAGAGATTGTACATTACTAACAAAGTAACACACTACAGCCTGCTCAAATCTCAGTTATGCAAAAGGAAGAAGTTATATTCCCTGGACTATTATTTTTCCTCAATGTGAACAGCATTATTGAGCCTTGTGTAAATATTTAGAAAGCTTTTCAAACTATTCTGCATCACTTGGATACATCTTCTGGTTGCAAGACTGTATGGGAACAAACTGTGGGGGCAGATCCCTGACTGCCTTCTCTGGATGCTGGCAGTCTGCTCGTGTTACGCTGCTCATACTTATGTCACCAGTCAGGAAACGACGTTATGGGGTTATGCATAAAGGTGTCTAGCAGGCCTTCAGGTACCTCCTGTTCTTTTTGAATTATTTCTTATAATTTTCAGGATGGTATCTCAGCTTGTTGATACACAGATAAAGGAAGTAATCACTTCATTTGCAATCACAATCAGAAATCTAAAGTTTAAATACAGCTGCATTTTAAAAGTTTTTATAGTTACTAGAAAGTTATTAAAGCACTAACAATCTTCTACATCTTCATAACACAGTAAAGCAATGAAGCAAAGACAATGGTAGAAGTTAAGCAGAACAGCTATGAAAATATAAAATAGCGTACATAAATTAAGAAGGCTATTGTTCTTCAGTGGACCCTTGCCGCGCTGCAGATCAAAGCACAGGATTAAAGCCTGAAGAGAGCATAGTCTAGGATGCAAACCCCATCTAAACAGAAATACTGCATTACTGATTGGAATTTAAACATGTTTAAACCTCTCAGAAACATCACAAACTTGTGTAGAAAGCAAGTTCTTTTGCAGCATGTTAATAAAACCCACCTGACAAATCATGCACAGATGATATTATTTCAATAACTGAGTGCCATGCAAGGAGCACCTTCCTGTAACTAAATCACAAAAAAGGATGGAACATACCACTCCTGCTGTGCCATCATAATATTATCTGGCTTCATTATTTATTTCCCCAGTTCCCCAGCACTTTCATTCTGTCCCTTTCACACGCATACACCCCCCCATCCCCCAATTCATAGAACATCCATCACAGGATCAAAGGCTTTTATGTGAGAGAGCACTTCCAACAACTGCTCTGTATAGCAAGTTTAAAGTGTCATAAGAAAGCTAGTAATCATAGTCATAGTGTCTCAAGTCACAGTCTAACCATAAGGTTTTTAAAATAAAGTAGTTGGAATCATGATACAAAGAAATAAATAGTTCATTGGCTCTGAGACACTTTTAAGGTTTTCCTCAATTCAGGCTGTATTTCTTTCCATCCCATAAAAGATGGCTAATTTAAAGGTTTGCTGATTTAAAAATCTTTTCTCCTTTCCCCATCACCTAATGATTAATATTCCTCCTTTTGTCTTCAAATTAAGCAGATATCAGACTACTGGAGAACTAAAGTTCTTAGAGGCACTCAGACAGTGAACTGACCTTATAAACACAAGTGACTAAAGAAATATCCCTAATAACATGGAGATACAGGCCTAGGTCTCGCCGTGTTATGTTTCAACGGCAATGATAGCTACTATTGAAAAACAAAGAAATTTTTTATGTTAGATGTAAGATTCCTTCAAATGAATTCTCTTGATGTTGTTTTAAAGTAACATTAAAAAAATCCAAACCCCATTATGTGTTCAAGTTGGTGTGACATACATCTGTCAAGCACATTCCTCTCCTGTGTCAAGATGTACCTGGAATGTTTCTTTCTGATACACTCTACTTCTGAAACATGGTACCTGTTTCCTATCTCCATTCATTAGCAGTACGAAAAGTCAAAGAGGAACCACTACTGGAAATGTGAGCTGAGACTGAGAAATAGAAAAGTGACAACAGCAGCAAGAAACATCAGTAACATGATATCATAATTTGGTCTATCTGCTTATTGTAGAGTTAAATGCTAGTTTCAAATGTTTTCTTTTCACAGAATGTAATTTCCGTTCTCCTTATATTTAAATTTTTGGGTTTGATTCAAACCATTCTCCTTTGCATTATCCTCTTAAATAGACATATAGAGGTACACCCAAAAATTAAAATCACAGATAGAATGGTTTGCTTTTGTTTAAACACACATAGTCTTACTGGTGAGTTTCAGTGGAATTTATATTTAACATAAATCTCTAAGGTAGAAAACATTGTTCCCTGAGGGCAGCAACTCAAGATTGTGTAAGTGTCATTCTAGATTTATTCCAAAAGATGAAGGCACTGTAGTAAGCTTCAGTCCTTAGTTCCTTTACAGATGGGACTCCCCAGTATTTTCTCTAATGCTTAAAAGCACGGGCAAAAAAAATTGGATATTGATCAGTGTTTTAAATAGAAAAGTCTTATGTAAATATGTAAATGAGCCTGATATGTACAGGGAAAAAAAGAAAGAGAAAAGGTATTTCAGATTCAGTGCCAAACTACTAGAAGAGCTGCTCACTAATGCATTTTCTGCCAACTGAATTTTTCAATCCCAAGTTTTATAACATATCCTCATCATATTGCTTAACCACTTGGAGGAACCAGTTCTATGGAAGTGAAGACTTAGCTACTGAAAAAGGACAGTGCAGTGGCTTTCAGGCTGTAGTCCACTTCTCTCTTGAAACCCTTTTCTTTATATAAACATATATGATTTAGTTGAAACAGGAGTATTGCAGTTCTACAAATTTGTGCATAATGGCCTTCCTCATTCCCCACATGCAAATTTAAAAACGTATTCTTTTTTGTGCAGGCCCTCACTTAGTATTTCCTTACATCATCCTAGAAAAGGATCTAGGCATGGTGGCTTCAACATCATCAAAAGAAACTGAAATCTTTTCCTTGAATTTGATCAGGAATCCTCACTGTAAAATTTAACCCATGGGAAACTCTTCTACATCAAACCTCCAGCTAGGGAACCTGAAATGTAGCTTTATCCATTCATTTTCTCTAAAAATATTGCCAGGATTAATAATTTTAATTCAATGAGAAGGACATCACTGCTGCAAAATCTTTTTCTGCAGTGCTTAACCTAGTAACCTGCACTTCATTACCTAGAAATTTCTCTTTTATTTGGTATAAAAGTTGCCCCCTCTTGAAAATTAATTAAAAATACAAGAATCCTTAGTCTTTAACCCTTTGACACTGGTTGATTTTCAGGGATTACAGGATTATTGGGATTTCTTTGTTCTCAGGGATTCTCTTTCTAAACTGTTAAAATCAAGACTATTGGCATCTAACATTAGAATCTGTCTAT